GTTTGCCTACAATTCTATTTACTAATTGCATTAGAGAAGACTTTGCTATTATTTTCAAACATGATAAAAGATTTGCTAACAAACTCTATAAGAGCTTTCACAAATATTAGTGGAAGAAAAAAGAGGGTTATTCCCTCCTATATAATTCATAGTTAGAAGTTATTAAATTTTACAAGATTTAAAATTTTATTCATGAGATACAAATTTATAAATTTAAATTTGAAAAAAAAAATAGAAGTAAATTTTAGAAATTCTAATTTTATTTCTATAAACCAATGCCAATCAAACTCTCAACATTAATTTTTTGACATAAAGATACATTGTGTATCCAAAACTAAGCCCAGCATTATGAATTTTTTTTTTTTGGTTGTTATTTAGGTTGAATGTGGTGAATTTATATGCACCCATTAATTTAATTTAAGTAAATATTGTAAAACTTAAAATGAATTTTCTTGGTAAAAATGTCACAACATTGTAGTAGCGTGTTTGGAAGGAAAGAGAAAGAGAAGGTAAGGAAGAGAAGGTAAGAGATTCACAGCTTTAGTTATTTATATTAATGGCTATGAATAACTACCTCTATTACATAGGAAAGAAAAAGAAAAAGAAAGAAGGAGAGGGTGTGATCACTGGCACTGCCACCAACTTACTTGGTAAGGCTGTTACAATAATATTTTATTTGATGGATATTTATAATTTTTTTAAATTAAAAAAATTAATGTATAAATTAATTTTAATTTATTAAATAATAAATATTAATTATTAACAATTCTTAACAATTAAATCAAATCAAATTAATATTTTTAACACAATTTTAATATTCTTAAAAAATTTAATTATTACCATAACTACACCTAAAAGAGCGGCTAAGAGAGGCAGTTAATTTTATTAATTGCTATAAATAACTACAGCTATTACCTAGGAAAGAAAAATAAAAGTAAAGGGCGAGAGGGGGGGTGTGATCACCACTATTATGGTTATGAAAATTATATTTTATTAAATTAATATTTGTAATTTAAAAAAATAATTTTGATATTTAAAATATTATTTATAAATTAATTTTAATTTATGAAATAATAAATATTAATTATTTTATTAATTATTAATTATTTTTTACAATTAAATTAAAAAAATATATTTTTTTTAACACAATTTTAGTAACATTTAATAAGAAGGTATCCATACCCACATTCCAAGAGAGGGCTGGAGACCCACAGCTAAAGTAAAATTTCCAATTTGATTTTTGTAAATGAAAAAAAATAAGATTAAGAGAGTTTTCTTTCTATTTGGACTAAATTTAATTTTTGGGTTAGAAAAAAAAAAAAAACCGGCTAGGCTAAGTTTAAGCCGAGCTGAGGAAGAAAGCACTTATCTGTTTTCTTTTCTGTGGAGGGTGTTCTCTGCATGACTTCACAGAGAAAATACTAATAAATTTGAGATTCTCTCTCCCATCCCATTCATCTTTTTGCTGATGTCCTCACTAGAGTAGAATTCTACATACCGCTTAGTATATAGGAAGGCCGGAGGAGGTGAAATTTCTGGAAGATCCCAGTTTGGGTTTTTGTTCTCAATTCAATCGCCTCGCCATCCACGGGGATACGCGAGCTTGATCAGGAGACATGGGGATTGTGAGGACGCTGGAGGAAGAGGAGGAAAGAATGGAGCTTGAGGAGTTCCGGCGCACGGTGCTCCTTGCGACTGCCGCCTTGAATCGGAGGAAAGATGAGGAAGAATTCCAGGGATTACCCGTTTCGTCGGAAGATTTTGTGGGTGATTGTGAAGAAGAGAAGCTTGTTTGTGTCACCAGTGGCGTGTCTTTCTTGGGACTCTCTGTTGTTAACCGACTCTTGCTTCGTGGGTACTCTGTTAGAATCATTGTCGATAACGAAGGTACTTTCTTTTTCAGACTATTTAAAACAGAAATTTGAATAGAAATTAATCGTGGAAATGGGATTAGATTTCGGATTCCTTGATTGTTCATGTTTTTGTTTCTAATTTGAGCGACTGGGTTTTGATTAAAATGCAGAAGATGTAGAGAAACTGAGAGAGATGGAAACATCAGGGGAGATGATGAGGACCGGCAACCGGAATATCTCTGTGGTTACTGCTAAGCTGACGGAAGTGCACGGCCTGATGGAGGCCTTTGATGGGTGCCTTGCTGTGCTTCACACCTCCGCTTTTGTTGATCCTGCTGGATTCTCTGGATATTCGGTAAGTTCCATTTTCTTTCTCATCGTGGCTCAAATGCAATCAGTCTGATGGCGATTCAAGATAGATCGACGGGTGCTTGAAGAAATGCAACTAAGAGATTAGTTTAAGAAAACTGCGCACCAGGAAATCAAATCGTCAAAATGGGATTCTGGGTAGTTAGTTAGACCTTAAAAATTCCTGAATTCCAGGACTATGGATGAAAAAACTGAGTTAGAATTTCATTCCTAATCCACCTCACATTGGGAAAATAGAAGCTGTCATCATGAACTCAATGATTCATCAAAAGTTAAAAACTTCTTCGGGTTGGGTAATGATGTGCGGACAAAGTTCTAAAAAATAAAATAAAATTGTCCCTCGATCATTTTCTTTTTGGGGTTCTACATCTAGTTATCAACATAATCTTCTCATGATCCATATCAGAAGCTAGTTAGATTTTTTTTTTTTTCTCAATAAATGTGTTGATTGAAGGTTGTTAGTATCAGATTAGTAGGATGCAGATGAAGATTAGGCTTTGATTACTTTGTTGTTATTTGTTTTTATTCTACTTTGTTGTTATTTGTTTTTATTCTACTTTGTTGTTATTAAACCTTAATAATGGCATATACATTAGAAAAAAATGAAAAAGAAACTTGAGGAATGACAATGTTACAATTGACATCTACTATCTAATGTTAGATTAGAGCCACAATAAGTCGTTGTAGTCTAGTACTGAGTATTCCCGCCTGTCAAGCGGGTGACCCGAGTTCGATCCCTGGCAACAGTGTTAATTTTTTATTTATATAGTTTTTGATACTCTTTCCACCAGGTGCACCTCCATTGCAGCTAGGATTTTGTTGTTATCTTCACATTTTGATATGGCATCAGTTGCATATGGAGTCTTAGCCCCTTGTTGTACCATTTTAGAATGAATATTGTTATTGTGCGTCCAATTGCAGATTACCATCAGCTCACTATAACAAAATTCTTCTTGACATGTGATACAGAAATCCATGGCTGAAATAGAAGTAAAGGCCAGTGAGAATGTGATCAAGGCATGCGCAAGAACAGCCTCTGTTAGGTACTGTGTGCTCACTTCCTCTCTTTTGGCCTGCATATGGAGAGACGGCACCCAACATGAACTCTCCCCTGTGGTTAACCACTATTGCTGGAGTGACGAATCTCTCTGCATGGACAAAAAGGTATTGTCAAATATTTCACTTTGAACTTGCTGGAAAGCACCTCACACAATATCACCAAAAGCTGTGATGAATGACATTTGAAAAGAGTCTTATTAGTTTCTTACACTTTTCTCTCAAAATGAGGCAGCTCTGGTATGCCCTGGGCAAGCTAAGGGCAGAGAAAGCAGCATGGAGACTAGCAGAGGAGATGGGCTTGAAACTGACCACCATCTGCCCAGGTCTCATCACAGGTCCTAAGTTCTTCTCTAGAAACTCCACAGCCACCATAGCTTATCTCAAAGGTATCACTTATGCAATCCATTCTTCTTCTCTTGCACAATTATCAATACCATTTCGTTTCACCCAAAAGGTTGTTTTAAGAATGTTTACTTCCGATTAATTCTTCATACTGACATGGATGAATTACAGCGCCAATCACAGGCTTATTCTTTAATTAGTGTATAAGCAAATCAAAGTAATGGTTGTGTGAATTCAGGGGCACAGGAGATGTATGCAGATGGCCTGCTAGCAACTGTTGATGTAAACAGATTGGCAGAGGCGCATGCATGTGTGCTTGAGGCAATGAACAAGACAGCATCAGGGAGGTACATTTGCTTTGATTATGTAATTGAGAATGGGGAGGAAGCAGAGAACTTGGCCAGAGAAGTTGGGATACCATCAGACAGGATTTCTGGAAATCAATTCAACTTCATTCCTACCAGGTTTCAATTGTCAGACAGGAAACTTACCAATCTCATGTCCAGAATATCTAGGAGCTGCCATCGTGAATGCTAAATCTTAGATTTTCTTTGGCAAACCCATGTAAACATAATCAAGAAATGCTAATTCAGTTCAGGCTCCTTTTGTTCCTCATCCTGTAGAGATCTATTTTGCATTTGGGGAAGGAGAATGGATTATATACCCAAAAAAAAAAAAAAAATCAAATTGAATCAAATTACAGCATCTAAGAGGTCAACACCCAAGACCCACCAAAGTAAAATAGAAGAAAAAATGAAAAATCCAAATGTGCAGAAGAAACTTAGGATTCTAAGAGGAAAATGGCTCTGAGGATTGCAATCTCTGCTCTTGACTTAGCTGCTTAATTCTGCTAAACTTGAGTTTAATTAGTCGAGTCGATAAAGCGTTTTAATTCTGCCTAACTTGAGTTAGCTACTTAATTTTGTTTGTACCAGAGTTACGAGAAAGAATAACTGATGTTAAACTATAGTATATATAGTTGATACACACCGAGATAGGTAAAAATCAACATTTAGTTTCTCACCTTACAAAATTGGTAGGTTTTAGATTCTCATCTTATAATAAGTTAAATGCTAAATTTAGTTCCTCAACTTTACAAAATGCACATTTTTGGTCCCTTAATAATTTTTTTGCATTTTTTTGATCCCTTGACTCTAAAAATTGCACAGTTTTGGTCCCTCCGTCAGTTAAATATGATGTGACAGTTAAATAATTTCATGTGGCATTGTTTTTTAATTTTTTTGATGATGTGGCACTAATATATATTATAATTATGTTATAAAAATAAATAAAAATGCCACATAGATTAATATACATATTTTAATTAAAAACATATAAAATTGCTTTATTACCCTCATCCTCATCCTCACCCTCACCCTCCTAATCCCTCTTCTTTCCCTTCTTTTTTTCTCTTTCTTTCTTTCGGGTTCGGTGGAAACCCAGCCCTGCTAGGTTCGTCGACCAGCCAAGGTTGGGTTCGTTGGAACCCAGCAGATCTAGGTTTCGATGAACCCATTGTTGGGTTCGACGGAACCCAGCCTTGCTGGGTTCGTCGAAACCCAGATCTGCTAGGTTCGCGACCAGCCAAGGCTAGGTTCGCCGGAACCCAGCTTTGCTAGGTTTCAACCGAACCCAGCTTTGCTGGGAAAGCTTGGTTCTTGTTTTTTTGTTCTTCTTTCGATTTCCATTTGCTGTTGTTAATATATTTGGAGATTGATTTATAATTTGATTGCATTTTTGTTGGAATTTGATTAAAGTTTGATTGTATTTTTGTTGAAATTTGATTTGAGTTTGATTGGTATTATTTATTGAAGGGTTATTTTGATTTGGTAAGATCTGCCAGGTTTGAGGTTTCAATGAAACCCCGTAGCTCAAGTTTCCCCGAGAAAAGAGAAGAAGAAGAAATGGGTGGGTTAAGATTAGTTCTGTTGATGGAGTGGAGATGAGAGAGCATTCATGGAAGAAGAAGAAATGGGTTAAGATCGATTTTGCAAATGGAGTGGAGATGAGAAAGCATTCAGAGAATAAGAAAAAATGGGTTAAGATCAATTTTGCAGAGGGTGAAGATGAGAAATCAATTTGCAGGTGTTGTCTCCAAAATCTCCTTTTCTGGCCGCATGGCAGATAAGGCTGCGAAGGCGTGCCACTCAGTTTGCTCAAAGTGAGAAAGAGGGATTCTCGGTGACCCTCACCACTTCCAAGCGTGGAACTCGGCTACGAGTCGATGGAAGAGCACCGGTTAAATAAAGGTTAAATGCTTAATTTGGTCCCTCAACTTTAAGAAATGAACATTTTTGATCCTTCAACAATTTTTTACACTTTTTTGATCCCTCAACTATATGAAATGTACTCCGTTAGTCCTTCTGTTAATTTGAGCCGTTAACCTTGCTTAGGTAGCATTTATTATTTTTTTTTTTGATGATGTGGAGAGCAAAACTTAAAAAAGTGATGACATGCATAAAATTTTTGCCATGTCACATGCTACTCGGCAAAAACGCACCAAATCCATTTATATGGGTCCCACATCACCACTAACAATTGCTCCTTTGGCCATCAGTTACTGTTTCTATTCTTTCCGGTGTTTTTTCCATTTTCAAGATTGAAGTTCGACAGGGTGTTCTTTCCATTTTCAAGATTGAAGTTCGACAGAACCCCAGCTCGATTCATTTCTTTCCATTTTCAAGATTGAAGTTCGACAG